AGAGCATGAACGGGGGAGGGGCAGAGAGACGGCGAGACACAGAATCGGAAACAGGCTCCAGGCTCCGAGCCATCAGCCCAGAGCCCGACGCGGGGCTCGAACTCACGGACCGTGAGATCGTGACCTGGCTGAAGTCGGACGCTTAACCGACTGCGCCACCCAGGCGCCCCTCTCATTTAATCTTCTTAGCACTGCTGAGATGGGTACTGGTTTTTGCCCTTCATAGTAGGTAGATATTTTGCCCTTACCTTTATGAAATGTTCAGAAATTTAATCAGACACATCCACACAATGTTCTAACTAGGATGTCTGTTTCCAAGATTTCACATATTTCTTGATTTGATGTCACAAGTACTTATTGGTGTGTGTTACCTATGGGACAGTATCACAAGGCAACAGGTAACGGATGTTCTCTACCCTGCAAAACCCGGCTATGTGTGTATGCTACAGATGAGGGGGAGGATGTGGCTCACACTATGATCACAACTAAGCCTACTAGCTAAACTTGCCTGTAGGAAATGCTCAGAATGATGCATGAAGCCGGCACCACGGCCACAGGGAGTAAAGTGATCCATAGTGCTTCTGAGTTGTTCAAACCATCAGTTAATGTGATTGAAGCAGGAAGAGCATACACATTTCCACTTTATTAAAATATTGCATAGATACAGAGCAGTTGGGCACATCCATTCTAAGGCACTGTTCTGGTTTGAATGCAAGTCCACAAGAGAGAAAAGAGAAGCCATTACATTCCGTATTTTTCATCTCTACATTCAGACTCCTCCTGTGTTACATGTTTATTGCTACTGGGATGTCAATTTTAACTCCACACTTATAGCAGCATCATACAGGGACCTGGATGACAGGAATTAAAGATACGTCCTGGCTGTAGCACGTGATATGCTTTGGCACTTAATTACAAACTCTCTTGCATTGTTCTCCATTTATTTCCCAACTCTTGTTTAACTAACGATACTATAAACTCCTTATGAACCGGACTCACGGATTCATGTCTTTACTAGTTTCCATTAAGCCTAGAACAGGACCAATTAGGCACAGAGTACTTCCCCCGAAATACTTATTTTCAACATCACTTCCGAGAACTTCAGTGGAATAGAACAAAATACACTTTCCCTACTCCTAGTTTAGGGAAAGAAGGACTGGTGTCTTCATAAAGGGAAAATACTTGAATGTCCTACTTCTTGTATTTTATAACAAGGAACTAGGCTGAATGAATATTTTCATGTATTAACAGCTATAACTGACAAAGAGAGTGCCTCCCTTGCTACAGGAATTTGAGTCCTTACCACGATTATACAATGTTTATATAAGTAGCAATATGCGTGTGTGATTATAAGTAAAATTCAAAGAGGCTGAGAATCACTGAACGACTGATAAATTATCTCGATTGGTGACCCTCACCTCCTTAAAATGATGTGTGTGTTATATAAAAAAAAAATGTATATACGTAAAGAATTTTTCATAACACCCTTGAAACAACTGAAGATAACTAGGCTTGGGAGCAACAAAACTATACTGATAGCTATAGAAATGGTTAAAGGCGGTGTGTTCCAAGGAATGTTTGCAGGATACTAGTTCTGTGGGTTATTACCGGGTATACATGAAAAAGGGTTCTGGGCGTCAAATAAGTTTAGAAAACACTCAGCCAAAAGAGGTGCTTTTTCTGCCTTTACCGGAGGACCTCTCAGAGATCCTTGTATGCTGATGTGCATTGTGTATCTAGAAAAGTGGAGACAGCAGGGATTCCCGAACTTATTTGTAAAATATCTTGTAGAACTAAGTGCTCTATGACACACGGTTAGGGGGACACTGAATTAAAGAATGGGCAAAATCTTAAAAGCACGGAGAGACACATCGGTGAATACCAAAGGACAGTAAAAAGCCACAGACACTGGTTTCGCAATCTAAATTAAGTTAGATTCTACTCGTGTGACATCAATTGTCCAAGGGATTCTTCCACAAAGAGCTTAGTTATTCTGTGAACAAAATTAATCATCAAGTTGATACTCAGCTCTAAGCAGCATCACCCCAGACCGCCAACTAAACAGACTAGCAAACTTTGCAAAAATTCATAAGTAAAGGTTAAAATCTTAATTTCCTTCGACATAAACAATCTCAATGGAAATAACCCAGTTCTTACCAGGCAAATGTGTTCTCGACACATTTTTATTATTTGACAAAACACACTGTCTCCTTGCTTACTACTTAGAGGACACATATAAAGCTTTGCACGAACATCATCCCCTTTTGTAATGACAGCAGAATAATTATGGTGCTGCTTTAGTAGTTATGTTGATAGACATGATCATCCATCATATTGACCCTACTCTGAAAAGGATTGTCATCAATTCTATGCTTTATGCTTATATCTATGACATAGTTGGCTTAGGACACAAAACATTTCATTGTAAAAAAAAAAAAAAAAGGAAGAGAGACAGCATAAATCAAATCTGGGAATGTTGCAAGAGTAGACAGATAGTCTAGAATTCATATACTTTGGAAGAAGGGCTTTTTAAATAGTTTTTAAAACCTGTTCTCATAAGCTCAAACAAGAAGATTCTTCCAAGGCAAACAGGCTGCTGTTGGTTAACTTTTTTTTTTTTTTTTTTTAGTTAGTGTCAATCTCTGTGGGAACCTGTTCTCTTCAAGATTCTTAAAGAAGTCCTCTAAAGTGAGTGACCTGGTGCATAATAAGGCCTGCCCTCTGCCTGAAGCTTTTAGAACAGTGACTACACTTGTATGGCTTCTCCCCTGTGTGAATTCTTAAATGAATAACAAGGCTCGGTCTCTGTCTAAAGCTTTTCCCACAGTAATTACATTTAAAAGGTCTTTCTTCGGTGTGAGTTCTCTGATGCAAAGTAAGAGCCGTCAGTCTACTGAAACTTTTCCCACAACTGTGACATCTGTGAGGTTTTTCACCCGAATGAGTTTTCAGATGTCTTTTGAGACTCGATCCATGACAAAAGCTTTTCCCACACTCAAGACATTTGTAGGTTTCTTCTTCAGAATGCGTTCTCTGGTGCCCTATAAGGTGTGACCGTCGAGTGAATCGCTTTTTACACACAGTGCATTCGTAGGGCCTCTCCCCGGTATGAAGCCGTTGGTGTCTATAAAGGTCTGAACTACGAAGGAATCTTTTTCCACACTCAGGGCATTTATGCGGTTCCTCTCCAGAGTGAATTCTCTGGTGCCCTGTAAGCTGCGACTTCCGCGCAAAGCATTTTCCACACTGAGGGCATCGGTGAGGTTTGTCCCCTGGACTCTTTTTCTTCTGGGGTCTGGGGTCGAGAGGCTCTTCTAAGTTGGAATTCTCAGGTTTCTCTCCTGCAGAGGGGTTCGGATGATCTACCAGTTTTGTTAAATCTGTCTGTAGATCCTCCGGGGGACTTTCCCACTGATTTTCCAACTGTACATAGTCTTTTTGCAAAATGGGCCCATGGAGAGCATTCCCCTCTAAAGTAACAATAAATGGATACATATTCTCCAGTTTTTTCTGTTTTGAAGAATCTTCTTCATTTTCTATCCCCATCTCAAAACCTGAGAGAAGAAACAGAAACTGAAGATGTCACTGCGTCCCACAGAGAGGAACACACGAGGGAAAAGGAAGGATTGTATTAAACCACCAGCAGGAATACAGAAACTCCTTGGTAGAATCCCAAACTCTTTACCCTGAGGAAGGCCGAATTTTTCTTTTCTTTATTCCATGACGTAAATGAACCATGACTTACCTATCTTGGAGTCAAGTAACTGTTTCATTTCTTTGGAATCTTGTAGTTCCTTCACCCATGCCTCTTCTCGAGGCTCCAATGAAAAGTTCACGTCCAGCTTTGGTATTGGATACCCTGGCCATAAGAAAGATGAGAAGCAGAATAGTTTATGTCATCAAGGGTTTTCTCTGACGACATCTGGGACATGTGGCCGCCTAAGGTCTACTTTCTCCCCAATGACTAGGACTCCACCCAAGATCTCTCACAAGAGACTCTCTTTTTTAAAGATAAAAACAAAACGTGATGAGAGAACATCCTTTCGTGCTCAATTCAAGGCCATTCTCCTCTATGGGAGGAGAATAAACCATTTCTGTGTTGAAATCGACACACTACATGATTTCTATATCTAGTCTGATATTCAATTTATTCAGGTTAGAACCAAAATAGGCAGTAAATCTTCATAGAGTTTTGGCATATTTTGGCATAAAACTGAGAAATGCTGCTATTGATACCGAGTGAAGAGAAAGCTAAAAGTTGGGGTTAGGAGGGGCACCTGGATGGCTCAGTCAGTTAAGTACGTGACCCTTGATTTCTGCTCAGGTCATGAACTCTTGGTTCGTGAGTTTGAGCCCCAAGTCGGGTTCTGTGCTGAGAGCTCAGAGCCTGCGTGGGATACTCTCTCTCCCTCCCTCTCTGCCCCTCCCCCGCTCCTGCACATATGCACGCCCTCTCTCAAAAATAAATACGCTGAAAAAATTAATAAATAAATGTATGGGTTATGAAACTATTTACTAGAATCTTTTCTATTGAGATTTTCAAATAAAATGGAAAATGACTAGGTTGCCAACAAGCAAAAGCAGGGTTTATGTTTATTTCAGGGGAAGTCTAGAAGTGCACGCTCTTGAAATTAACCCAAAAAACCATCCAACGGTATTTCTATCAGTCTAAGAACAACTAGAACAAGTTCCTACATTCACTGTCCCCACGTCCTACCACCTCTCTCCCCACTGACAGCTGCTGTGGCTCACATTCTCTTTCCACGACCTTTCCTCACCTTCCTCGGTCTGGCAAAGTATATTGGTCTGCAATAAAGTGTGGGATGAAAACTGTTGCCTTGAAATCTAACTGCAGGATGCTGTTTAAACATCAGCAAAATTTTTTTAAATAGTAGCATTATTAAAATACATTAGCAAAGGAATGAAAATTTACGTTTCAAAACATTATGTCAGAACATAGGAAGGGGACTAAAATACCTTATTTTATATTTTCATGGAAAAAAGACCTTTTGCAATTAAGAATGACAAACAAAAATGCAGTTCAAATACAATTTTGTTTAAGTTCACTATATTGTTGAGGTGCCCAGGGTGGCTCAGTCTGTGAAGTGTCTGGCTCTTGATTTCATCTCGAGTCAGGGTCTTGCTGTGAGTGAGTGTGAGCCCCAGATCGCTGGGGCCTCTCTCTCTGCCTCTCCCCCCATGTGCTCTCTCCTTCTCTCAAAATACATAAGCTTACAAAAAATGAAAAATAAATTCACTGCATTGTTTTTGTTTAGATTGCAAAGCGAAGAGTGGGATCAAAGGGTAACATGGCACAGGTCAAACAAAACTGGGGGTTCCAGACCAAACGAAAGCTGCCATGAGGGAAAACTGAAACTTGAAAGAGGCAGACTAGCAAAGGCCTCGGTGTAAAATGTGGATTTATAACCGAAATGTAGTCCGGGAGGTGGATTTCCAACATATCACGAGGAGCTCTGCAGACCTACTTCCCAATGAAACTAGTGACAATTATTAAAAACAAAAAAAACAGGATGGGGCGCCTGGGTGGCTCAGTCGGTTAAGTGTCCGACTTTGACTCAGGTCATGATCTCGCGGTTTGTGAGTTCGAGCCCCGCGTCGGGCCCTGTGCTGGCAGCTCAGAGCCTGGAGCCTGTTTCAGATTCTGTGTCTCCCTCTCTCTCTGACCCTCCCCCGTTCATGCTCTGTCTCTCTCTGTTTCAAAAATAAATAAACGTTAAAAAATTTTTTTAAATAAAAAAAAAAAAAAACAGGGGCACCTGGGTGGCTCAGTCAGTTAAGCGTTATTTGGGCTCAGGTCACGATCTCACAGTTCATGGGATCGAGCCCCGCAATGGGCTCCATGCTGACAGCTAGGAGCCTGCTTGGGATTTTCTCCCTCCAGCTGCCCCTCTCCTGCTCGTGTTCTCTCTCTCAATAAATAAACAACTTTTTAAAAAATTTAAAAAAAATAAACATTGGTCCTAAGGGCCTACAGCAAACTAGGAAACATCTATTTTTTTTTAATCTGCTAAAATTCACAGGTAATAGGGAGATTCTTTTTTTTTTAAAGTTTATTTATTTTTGAGAGAGAGCCAGAGCACGAGCGGGGGAGGGGCAGAGAGAAAGGGAGACACAGAACCCGGAAGCAGGCTTCAGGCTCTGAGCTGTCAGCACAGAGCCCGATGCAGGGCTCGAACTCAACTCGGAAACAGCGAGATCATGACCTGAGCCGAAGTCAGACCTTTAACTGACTGAGCCACCCAGGCGCCCCGGTAATAGGGAGATTCTTGAGGATTTAAACCACAACAGTTCTCTTTGGTGCCTCTCCCCGCTCCACTCCACACTGGCACAGGGACCGAGGCAGCCCTCTCCCCCAGACCCTTCCGAGGGCTATCTTCTTGGAAGGGGCAGGACCTCAGCATTTCTCATCCTACCCCAGCTACCCATTGTTGATTCTAAGGTCCAAACAATCGTGGCTGCAAGGTGGGGACAGCTTTTATCTGCCCAGTCTCTACTGGTGGCATGGAGGAGCTACCCTGGGTGTCCTATTGGTGACAACACTAGAGTACTCCCTGTCTGTCCTTGTAAGGCAGTAGTGATTATAAGACAGTGGTTCTAAGCCTGGAGATGCAACCCAAGAAGACCTGAGGGCCGGACCTAGTGCTCAGCTGGAAAGTGGCAGTTTCACTTAGAGATAAGCACACCATTTCCCCCACCTCCAGAGCAATGTATCAGAGATTTGGCCTCGGAGAAGCAGGCCTTAAAACAGGTAGCTCCTAATATATTCTCAAAAAAAAAAAAAAAAAAACACCTGATTCATTTGCAACAGAGGATGAACATTTAAGCCTAAGGATATTCTAAAAAAGAGCACAGATGATAATGAAAGGCAACAGGAAAGAGTTTGATAGATTTATGGACTATACACCCTAAACCCCAGGCTGACTAGCTTGCCGAGGAGAAGTGGGGAAAAAAGACAAGCTGGGAGGAGCCCTCCTGGGATCACAACAAATCTCAAAACCTGACCTCAGGAGCTAGCCCAACAAAGGTATCTGAAATTGACTAGATTGGTCCAGGGAGAAATTATGCTCCAGGGCATTGCCGAAAACAATAGAGCAATTAGCTGGAAATTAATGGCAGGGTCAGGTCAGGGAAAGAGGCAGCCAAAGAAAGCCCTGTAAAAGTGCTGCCTTTCCAGGGTGACTGTGAAAGCACATCCGAGACTGTGCTCCCTGAGGGGCAACATCAAAAGGTTAACATTTCACAGTGGACTAGAGTTGACTGAAGGAACGCAGCCATTACCAAACAAATAAGCAAACAAATAACAATAACAAGCCCTAGGGAGGGGAAAGAAGGACTCCGGAGTCGCTACAATGTTTTATCTAAAATGTCCAGTTTCCAACAAAACATGATGAGCCATGCACGTGGACAGGAAAGTATGACTCATACACTAGAAGAAAAAAAAGAGTGGGGACCGGACTCTGCCTATGTGAGTGACTAGATAGTGAATTTAGCAAAGACTTCAAAGTAGCCATTATGAGTATCCAAGAACAAAACCAATCCATGATTAAGGAAGTAAATTATGATGACAAACAGCATCACATCACATCACATCAAATAGACAATATCAATAAATAGAACGTATAATAAGAATCCAGTGGAAATTCTGGAGCTGAAAAGTACCATAACTGAAATGAAAAATTCCCTAGAATGGCTCAAGAATGGATGTGAACTATCAGAACAATCAGTGAACTTGAAGACAGATCAGTAGAGATTATACTATCAGAAGAACAGAGAGAAAAAAAGAATGAAGGGAAGTGAATAGAGCCTCAGAGAAAAGTCGGGTACCACTAGGTGCCATTATAATAGATGTATAATGAGAGAACCAAGAGAGGGTGAGAGAAAGGAGCAGAAAAAAAAAAAAACCAAATTGAAGAAACAGTGGTGCCAAACTGCCCAAATGTGTTGAAAACACATTCATCTACACATCTCGGAAGCTAGATGAATTCCAAGCAGGACAAACACAAAGAGATCTTCAAACAGACATATCAGAGAGCCTGGGTGGCTCAGTCAGTTAAGCATCAAATTCGGCTCAGGTCATGATCTCCGGGTTTGTGAGTATGAGCCCCACATCAGGGCTCTCTGCTGTCAGCACGGAGGAGCCTACTTGGGATAATCTGTCTCCCTCTCTCTCTCTCTCTCTGCCCCTCTCCTGCTCTCTCTCAAAAATAAACATTTTAAAAAACCAAACATATCATAGTAGAAATCCTAAAGGTCACATAAAAAGAAGAAAACCTTGAAAGACAGCAAGAGGAAAATGACTTGTCACTTACAAGGGAACTCCAATAAAATTAAAGGCCGAGTTCTCACTAGCAACACTGGAGGCCAGAAGACAGTGGGACAACATATTCAAAGTGCTCAAAGAAAAATGAGAAATTATATCCAGAAGAGCTATCTATAAAAAATGAATTGTGAGGGGCGCCTGGGTGGCTCAGTCGGTTAAGTGTCCAACTTCA